AAAAAAAACTTCTGTCTAACTAATACAAATAAGAATCCTTATAAACAAACTCCCGTCTCTGCGTACGTCTACTCCTCAGCTACTGCAGCTCTGCTGTAATGCATTTTATATATATTTTATATATCATATATAATATATAATATGTGTGCTGAAGGGTAATACTTCGTATTACACAAACTCAGAAGAGAAATAATAGAGGCAGTTTCGTGCGTTGGCGAAAACAGACAAAATATTGGGTGTATTTTGCTGCATTGCCGCAGCAGCGATTCTGATTCTTGAACAGATTGATTTGGTGGTTGTTTCTGTTCAACTTGTTAATATGTTTATGCATAGCCGCACTCCTGCAGCAGCTGCACAGACTCCTTCGGCATTGATTTTGTTACTTCTTTCATTGCCGCTGCTTTCGCCTTTGCCTCAGTCTGTTTCCTCTGGAAAAACTTTTCTGAACGAGCTTTTCTCTTCTCTTCAAGACGCGAGATCAAGCTGCCCTTAGACCAGCCGACCTGCACATACACCCGAACAGCACGTACACCTGAAGTGATGGAAACCTTGGCGATCTTCTATGATTTCATGAATAAAATTGTTTAAAAATCAGAAAATATGAATTTAAATACCTTTATTTTTCTAATTAATCAAAATATTCAAAAAAATATACAGCTCATCTCACCATTTCGCTCAACTCTCCCAGGCGGCAGAAGTCGCGCCCAGGTCTCAGCCGCATTACACGCAGTGCCTGAGGCACGACGACTTTCTTCTTCCTTTCGTACTTGACGGGTACTCCTTCATAGACCTGTATTTGCAAAATCAAACAAATCCCAGAAGCACCCGAACAATGCAGTAGCTGAGCGCTACCACCACCCTGAATTCAAGCGGCAACTCTGACAGGGATATTTTTTCTTCTCTATGCTTCTTCAAAAGAAGAGTTTGCATGCAGAAAATGGATGTCTTACCTCAAGACGGGACAAAGCCTTCTTGCCTCGGATTGTCTTATGACGGATCATACCGCGCACTGCCCTCCAGAAGATGCGTGAGGGGGCTCTCATATGGTAGGGGCCCCTACGAGGGTTGGAGTTCATGCGTAGCCTGAGGAAGGCCTGGTATTTGAGTTTATTGCGGTGAAGAGATCCTGAAGAGAAGCAAATAGACATCATTACGTGTGTCTCAATATATATATATATATATATATATTGTGAAGACAAGCGAATAAGAAGGTAAGAGTCTAGCAAAAAAGAAAAAGAAATTAAAAATATATTTATAACAAACCTGAAATATTTATATTTTCACATTTCACGCACACCACGTGCTGCCCATTCAGAATCTCCTTCGCAACAGTCGATGCAAGACGGCCTAAGAGATGCCCCTGGCAGTTTATAACAACCACCTGCAGTTAAAAAGAAAAGAAACGCTTAATAATGCATGCAGCAGATATATCTAAATACATTTCAACATCTAATAAACAGCGTGCATGCACAGCAGCAACACAACAAACAGCAGCCAGACAACTGCAGCACCAAAGATCATCAGACTGCATTCAAATGAAGCGAGGAATAATGCAGAGCCCTCATAGCAGCATTTCACTGCTCTTCTTCTTGAGGGGCACTCTATAGATAAACATACACATATATACATATATATATATGTATATTTAAGTCGGCATACATATATACATATATATAAACCTTTCGGGCCCCCCCGGTTATATTGCTGCTGCGGGGCTGCAGCAGCAGATCAGCATTTGTAGATTTGATTAAAAGGCACCGCAAACACTTCAAAGAAATGAAAAAATAAACATAGAGAAATTTACACACAAGAAGAAGGAAGAGCAGCAGCAGCCCCTCTCTGTGCGACAGGGTATGGGGTTGGGCAGCAGCAGCCTAGCAGCGCTCTGAAGAGAGTGTATTTAGATTGAAAAGACAAGAAATAAGGAAATAACAGACAAACAAATCGATAAAAACTCGCAATAAAGCAGCAGATCCGTGCGGGGAAGCCTCAGGGGAATGCAGGGCTTCATACAGTGTAGCGATATACTTCTGGGGTGTATACGCACCTTTTTGAACGCCATTTTCCCTCGTTTGTGTTAAAATGAAGGAAAATAAGCGAAATAAGAAGGTTTATATTCAATAAAAGTGGCGAAAAGCCAATCAATAATGCAAGAAATGCATAACGAGGGGCTGCCTACTCCTAACAGCCCCAACTGCTACCGCCCCACCCTCGAAGCTGCAGCAGAAGCCGCATGCACTGCTGCTGCATGCAGCTTCTTATTCAAACAATTTAGCTGTATATCTTCTTTTAATTTATTTAAAATGCCTATTTATTCATTAATTTTGAATTCTAATTTAATATAACACTCACTGATACTCGCGCTGCAGGCACACCATCCCTGCGCTCGACTGCGGTGTACAGACACCTGAACTTCTAATTGTTTGCCTCCTTCCCTATTATATATATTTCATTTGAATTCTTATATATATATATATGCATTTATGTATAACTTTTACTGTTGTGGGTTATAAGCAATACTACTACGGTTTGCAGCCTGGTGTAAGAAGGCAGATTAAAGAGCTGTGTATCTGCAACAGGAGATAACGATTGTAAGTAAGCGATAATGAGAGGCTGATTGATTATTATATTTATTTATTTATTATTTTTTATTGACGATCTCTGCAATCTGAACAGCTTTAAAAACTTTTTAAACATTCTCTATACCCTCAGATACCGCAGCAGCAGCAACAGCAGCAGCAACAGCAGCAGCAATGTTCAGTGCAGATGCAGTGTGAAGTATGTGCTGCAGCAACATAACTGGCTGTCTGCTGCTGTTGTTGCTGCTGTTGCTGCTGTTGCTGCTGCTGCTGGCTGTCTCCCTAAAGAAAAGGAGAAAAGACAAAGCGAATTAAATTGAATTACAACTCAAAGAAAAAAGGGGGTCCACTTGAATAAACTGGAGGCAAAAAATGCTGTCAAGACATCCACATGCATGCATGCATGCAGTAGACATCCGCATGCATGCAGAAGAGACGTGCATGCAAGCATGCATGCATGCCTGCACGCACGCATGCAGAAGAGATCCACCTGCATGCATGCAAGCATGCATGCATACAGGGAGTAAATGTGCATGCTGCCAGCCCCATAAGAACCTTCATGCATGCACAAGCGTTTATTTGTGTTGCTGCAGCGTTCAAGCCCCAAATGAATAGCCTTGTGCCCCAAATGAATAGCCTTGTTATGCATGCATGCGGATGGGTTAAACATAATATAATATACTATACTATACAATAATAATATATTATATTTAAGCCCCAAATGAAGAAGAAGGTTTTGCTCCCTGCATGCGCATGCGCATGCGTCTCTTTAAACGAATTCGCAACAAAGCCCCTCGACAGCGAGCAGACAGCCAAAAAGTTTTAATTAAATTTGATGCGGCGCTGCTGTCTTCTTTTACACCCTGTATTTCAATATAATACTGCAGCATATCTTCTGCTCGCTGCAGCAGCCTGCGGTGTACGTATATGGCACAGAGACACAAAGAAAGTAATAATGCATGCATTAATGTTAAAGGAAGCACTTGCTGCTGCTGCTGCTGCTGCTTCTGCTGCTACTTCTGCTGCTATTTCGATTTCTGCTGCTGCTGCTGCTGCTGCTGCTGAAGTAGCAGCAGCAGCAGCAGGTGTTTCGTTTTATCTTCCCGTTGCTGCTATTATTATATTTTATTTGTAATATTATTTAAGAGAGTGAAGCTAAATAAATAAATAGAAATATCCTTTATTGTTCACATCTGCATTAACAAGCACATGCTAATATCTAAAAGAGACAAACAAAAAGAAATAAAATAAACAAAATAAACAAAATAAATAAAATAATATTAATAAATACAAACCTCAAATCACCAGACGCCCGCCTCTCTATGTTCAAAGCCAACGGAGGTAAAGACCTGCAGCCCCAAACAACAAATGCAAACGTAAATGCATGCAAATGCATGCATATATATATATATATATATATATACATGTGCATGCATATATATATAAATATATATATCTGTAGATATATAATCTGCTCGCGAAGAGCATGAAAGCCCAAAAGGACAGAAAGAGAAGAATAAAGACAAAGAAAGAAGAATAAAGACAAAAGGAGACAACATAAAGACAAAAGGAGACAGCCTCAAGACAAAAGGAGACAACATAAAGACAAAAGGAGACAATATAAAGACAAACAAAGAAGAATAAAGACAAAGAAAGAAGAATAAAGACAAACGGAGACAACATAAAGGCAAAAGGAGACGGCCTCAAGACAAAAGGAGACACACTGAAGACAAAAGGAGACAGCCTCAAGACAAAAGGAGACAGCCTCAAGACAAAAGGAGACAGCCTCACTGAATATCTCCCAAAGTTAACGAGCGATGAAGGACCTGCAGCGTCAGCAATTCGTCTTTAAGAATGTCGCTGTCTCTGCATATAAAACAAAGACAAATAAACAAAGAAAGGAGACAGGTAAAGCGACAAATAAACAGAGAAAGGAGACAGATAAAGCGACAAATAAACGAAAGGAGGAGACACAGAAACACTCGGAGACAAACAAAATAAAATAAGAGTAAAAATAAAGAAGAGAAAATAAAGACAAACAAACGAACTCAGCAACAAATATTAAAAATATTATTCACCTGCTTCCTGCATGCATTAAACCAATCTCCCTCAATGCCTCTACATTGCCTTGCAGAGCAGCTCGATTGAGCTGTCTGTACACCAGACTCATAGGCTGCTGCTGTTGCTGCTGCTGCTGCTGTTGCTGCTGCTGTTGCTGCTGCTTAGGTATGGGATGAGACGGAGGTGCTTCAGTCAAGGGATCGTCTCCGTGTGGCTGCACCGGCTGCTGCAGCGCCGTGGGGAGTCCAGGAGCCGCAGCCGCAGCAGCAGGATCGTCAGCAGCAGCAGCAGCAGCAGCAGGAGCAGCAGCACCAGCAGCAGCGCCAGGGACAACTGCAGCACCCGACTGCAGCAGAAAGGCGGAGTTCCACTGAGCGATTTCGTAGCCTTCTTCTGCTGCTGCTAAATTCAGCAGCAGAGACCCCTCATAATCCTTCTCGTTGTACAGCTGCAGCGCTGCAGCAAGCACAGCAGCAGCATCAGCAGCAGCAGATGAAGCAGCAGATGCAGTGGATGCCGCAGCTGCAACAGCAACTACAGCAACAACCAAAGCAGCACAGACACCGGTGACTCACTTGCAGCAGCAGCAGCAGCAGCAGCAGCCCACCCACCAGGACAAGCAGCAGCAGCAAACAAAGACGTTGCAGCAGCAGCAGCAGCAGCAGCAAACCAGGACAGCACCATAGGCAAACAGCAGCAGCAGCAGCAGATGGGGAGGCCCTGAAGCAGCAAACTAGCTTCTATTACCTCTTCGGATGTTGTCTGCACTGACACCGTATTCTGCTGCTGTCTTGAAGGCCTATTCAACGCAAACACCCCTAAACCCTAAACCCTAAACCCTAAACATTAAACCCTAAACCCTAAACCCTAAGCTCCACCCGTACGTTCTACCTAGGTAACGCAGCCGTAGCCCTTCACGACGAGCCCCAGTAAACTGCAATGCGTAAACCCTAAACCCTAAACCCTAAACCCTAAACCCTAAACCCTAAACCCTAAACCCTAAACCCTAGGCCCTCACGAGTGCTGCAGCTTTGCATGTCTGTAAGTTATTTTTGTTTTGTTTATCTGCTGTTGTTTTAGCTGCGAGCGCTTCTCCTTCTCTTATCCATGCCAGATGATAGCCGCCTTCTGCTGCAGCATTGATTAAACGAAGAGACAGCTGCAGCAGCTGCAGCAGCAAAGGAGACAAAGACAAAAGGAGACAAACAACATATCTACTAAAGATAAAGAAGCATATGAGGGGACAAAGACAAAAGGAGAAAGGCATATATATAATATATATATAAATATCACATATATATTATATAATATATATATAAATATCATATATATATTATATAATATATATATATATATATAAGACAATGCAGGAGACAAAGACAAAAGGAGACACACAGAGACACACCACATTTATTAAAGACAAAGCAGCATATATATATGTATATAAAATATATATAATATATATAAAATATATATATATATATATTTGTTTATTCATTAAAGACAAAGAAGGAGTCAAAGACAGTACAAATAAAGAGACAAAGAGTAATAAATAGAGAGACAGAGACAGACGCAAATAAAGATAAACCCATCAAACAAAAATAAAAAAGAAAGAGAGACAAAAAGAGATAAAGACAAACAAAGACAAAGAAAAAGAAAAAGAGAGACAAAGAAGACAAACGGAGACAGCAATTGAAATAAACAGAGATAGACAGAGACAAAGATAAAGACAAAGAGAGACATAAACGAAGACAAACAGGCAGAGGCGGACAGAGACAAAGACAAAGAGAGATATAAACAAAGACAGAGAGACAGAGGCAGACAGAGACAAAGACAGAGAAGGAGACAGTAATAAACAAAGACAGAGAAGGAGACAGTAATAAACAAAGACAGAGAAGGAGACAGTAATAAGCAAAGACAGAGGAGCAGACAGTAATAAACAAAGACAGAGGAGCAGACAGTAATAAACAAAGACAAAGGCAAGGACAAACAGAGACAAAAGAAATAAAAAAAAATAAAAAACAGAGACGAAGAAGACAGACAAAAGAAAACACAAGCAGAGACAGACGCAAACATAAATAAATAAATAAATAAATAAATAAATAAATAAATAAATAAATGTATATATATGAGACACCGACATAAACAAAAGGAGACAAAGACAGCGACAAGCAAAGACAAAGAGAGACAGAAAGAAAGACAAAGAGAGACAGAAAGAAAGACAAAGAGAGACAGCAAGACAGACAAAGAGAAGCATATAATATACAGCCGCACTTTGTCTCTTTCTATTGCATCTGCTGTTGCTGCTGCTTGCTGCTGCTTAAGCTCGCCTAAAAAATAAAAAGCCTCTGCATGCTCCTGCAGCGCTGCTTTTGTAAGATAATACTCGGCCTTCACCGGGTCCTTCTCCACCACAAACCCCTTGCTGCTGCTGCTGCTGCTGCTGCTGCTGCTGCTGCTGCTGCTGCTGCTGCTGTTGGGTGGAGCTTCCGTCCCTACCCAGTAGAAATACCCTAAATAGTTTTGTGCGTCGGCGTCTCCAGCAGCAGCAGCCTAACAAACAAAACAAAAAAAATAAACTCGATGTAAACGTAACAGCAGCATCCCCTCCTGCTACTGCTGCTGCTGCTGCTGCTGGTGTAGGCGCTGTTGCTGCTGCTGCTGCTACTGCTGTTGCTGGTGCAGCTGCTGCTGTGGCTAGTGCTGTTGATGATGCTGCTGTTGCTGCAGAGTTCGACGACGCAACAGCAGCACGCGTTGCATGCGCATCTCACAGCAGCAGCAGCAGCAGCAGTAGCAGCGACAGCATCAGGAGCAGCAGCACGAGTAGCACCAGCAACAGCACGAGCACCAACAACAGCATGAGCAGCAGCAGCACGAGAACCAGCAACAGCACGAGAACCAGCAACAGCACGAGAACCAGCAACAGCACGAGAACCAGCAACAGCACGAGCAGCAGCAGCACCAACAGCAGCAGCAGCAGCAGCAGCAGCAGCAGCAGCAGAGTCTTACCTGTTTGAGCAGTTTAAAAGCAAGCTCTAAGTTTTGCTGTCCTCCGCCCCTCAGATTTTGCAGCGCCAAATCGCGCAGCGCTGCGCCCATTCGACAATTCGCCGCCCTCTGCAGCAAATCCGCCACGCGACTGCGACGCACAAACCCTAAACCCTAAACCCTAAACCCTAAACCCTAAACCCTAAACCCTAAACCAAAAACCATAAACCATAGACCCTAAGTCGTATAACACAAACCCTAAACCTTAAACCCTAAACCCTAAACCCTAAACCCTAAATCTTCAAAACGCAAACCCCTAAACCCTAAACCCTAAACCCTAAACCCTAAACCCTAAACCATAGACCCTAAGTCGTATAACACAAACCCTGAACCTTTAACCCTAAACCCTAAACCCTAGGCCCTTAACACTAAAACCTATACCCTAGATGCTGAACTCTAGCCCCGAAGGCCTTTTGACTAAACCCTAAACCCTAAACCCTAAACCCTGGATGGAGCAGAAGCATAATGAGGAGACAGATGAAGATAAACAAAGCAAGGAGGCAGCGCACCGCTTTCCCGCCTCGTCAGCAGCGCTCGGCTGCTGCTCTTGCTGCTGCGGCTGCTGCTGCTGCTGCTGCTGTTGCTGCTGCTGCTCCAACAGTTTTGCAAGCTCATAGCAGGCTACCGGGTCGTCATTCTTTGCTTGGCCTTCCCAGTACTGCAGCACGTCCTCCTGAACCCAAACCCTAAACCCTAAACCCTAAACCCTAAACCCTAAACCCTAAACCCTACGCCTCAAACCCAACACCCACAAACCCTAAACCTCTGCAGCAGAACATTTTATTTCCGCGTGTCTCTGAGGTGTACAGTACAGACATCAGGAGAAGCGCCTTTAAAACGAGAATGCTGCTGCTCATGCTGCTGCTGCTGCTCTTGCTGCTGCTGCTCTTGCTGCTGCTGCTCGTGCTGCTGCTGCTTACCTGCTGCCTCGCTGCATTTTGCTGCTCTCTGTGTTCCTGTTGCGTAAGGGGGGAGAGACGCGCTGAGGGCGGCAGCTGCAGCAAAGGAGACTGCGGAGACCGCAGCTGCTGTTCATTCACTTCTGCTGCAGCTTGCTGCAGCAGCAAACACCAAACAGCAGCAGCAGCAGCAGCAAAAGCACGTACAACAAAAGCAAACAGACAGCACGCTAACCCACTCTATCTGCAACAACGCTGATAGCCAGTAGCAGCAGCAGCAGCAACAGCAGCAGCACTAGCAGCAACGGCAGCAACACTAGCAGCAGCAGCAACAAGAGCAGCAGCAGCAGCAGAAAAAGCAGCGGCAGCAGAAAAGGCAGCAGCAGCACCAACAGCAACAGCAGCAGCAGTAGAAAAGGCAGCAGCAGCACCAACAGCAGCACGAGCAGCAGCAGCAGCAGCAGCAGCAGCAGATACTTTGTAAATTGCTAGAGCTGCCCAGCAGTCGGGCTCAACACCATCGCCATGCAGCAAACTGCGTAGACACCGCAAAATAAAACATAATAATAAAAATAAACAAACAAACAAAACACAAAAAAGCAAATAAATAGAATAAATAAATAAAATAAACAAAAGACAAGAGACAGCAAGAAGGAGAAAAGAGAGGAGAGACAGCAAAGAAGCAACAAATAAATAAAATAAATAAAATAAAATAAATAAAGCAGACGAAAGAGAGGGGCGAGAAGAGACAGCAAGAAGGAGACAGCAAAGAAGCAACAAATAAATAAAATAAATAAAATAAAATAAATAAAGCAGACGAAAGAGAGGGGCGAGAAGAGACAGCAAGAAGGAGACAAAAGAAAGAAGAGAAACGCGTCATACTATGTAGCAGCAGCAACAGCAGCAGCAGCAGCAGCAGCAACAGCAGCAGCAGCAGCACACCGGAAAGCAGTTGCTAGGAGTGAAGGGATGTAGCCTGAAACCGCCCCAAGAAACTGCAGCTGCGTTGCTGCTGCTTCATTTTGCTGCAGCAGCGGAGGCATATACACAGCAGCAGCAGCAGCAGCAGTAGCCGTAGCAGCAGCAGCAGCAGCAAACAGCCCCACTGAGAAGCGCCGTCCGTGAGGCACTAACTGCAACAATCATCCCTGGTGCAGCACCAACAGCAGCAGCAACAACAACAGCAGTAACAGAAATAGCAGCAACAGCAGCAGCAGCAACAGCAGCCGCAGCAGCAACACCAGCAGCAACAGCAGCAGATACCTGCACTCCTCCAAGCCCCACAGCATGCGCAAGGCCGAGTGCATGCAGCGCGGGGCCGTAGCCGAGAGCAGCAGAAGCAGCAAAATGCTGTACAGCAGCAGCAGCATCGCGATGACTCCTGAAACCGCCCCAAGAAACTGCAGCTGCGTTGCTGCTGCTTCATTTTGCTGCAGCAGCGGAGACATATACACAGCAGCAGCAGCAGCAGTAGCCGTAGCAGCAGCAGCAGCAGCAGCAGCAGCAAAACAGCCCCACTGAGAAGCACCGTCCGCGAGGCACTAACTGCAACAATCATCCCTGGTGCAGCAGCAGCAGCAGCAGCAGCAATAGCAGCAGCAACAGCAAGAGCAGCAGCAGCAGCAGCAGCAAAAGCAGCAGCAACAGCAGAATGCGACCAGGCTTCCTCTATGTATGCTGCAGTGTACGTACACCGCAGACAAATCAGCAGCACCAGAAGCGCTGTGAACATATAAAGCACACAAAGCCTTAGGTATGCTGCAGGGACAGCAGCAGCAGCAGCAGCAGCAGAAAAAGCAGCAGCACGAGCAGCAGCAGCAGCAGCAGCAGCGTATCTTAAGCGTACTATGATTGCCTTTAAGAGGGCAGCAGCTTTGCGGGAGTCTTGTGGTTTGCCTCCCTCTCCAAATCTGCTGACAAACCCTAAACCCTAAACCCTAAACCCTAAACCCTAAACCCTAAACCCTGCACGTCTCCTTGTGCACTGCTAAGATGTGCGGTGCATCTGAGGGTTTAGGGTTGAGGGTTTTGTTTGTCCTCACGACAAACAAAACCCTAGCTCTTCCTGATGTCTAGGGTTTAGGGTTTAGGGTTTAGGGTTTAGGGTTTACTTCAGTTCGAGCGCCTGCGCGAGCTTCAGCTCCCTATCCGAAGGACCCTGAGGGCTGTTGCTGCTGCTGCTGCTGCTGCTGCTGTTTGCTGCAGAAAAAGCAGAAGCAATCGGTCTCGTTTGTTCGTCTGTTGCTGAGGCTTCAAATATATTTTTGTCTCCCTCCAAGTCAGCAGCAGCAGCAGCAGCAGCAGAACAGCAGCAACAATGCAGCGGCAGCAGCAACAGTGCAGCAGCAGCAACGGTGCAGCAGGAGGAGCAGCAGCAATACAGCAGCAGCAGAAGGCGTGTATTTACCTGGTTGGGGGTCCTGTAGCTGCTCATCAGAAGCAGCGTTGCTGCTGCAGATGACAGTGCTAAGCAGCACCAGCAGCAGCAGCAGCAGCAGCAAACCAGCCCTGGGGGCCCCCTTAAAGAGGGCCCCCAAGGGGCCCCGTACCCTATGCCGATCTATCAGCAGCATATCCTGCGGCCTGCTGCAGCAAACACTTCATGTGGGGCCCCACACCTGCCTAGGTCAAGCAGCGACACGGCTCGAGCCCCTGCTGCTGCTGTTGCTGTTGCTGCTGCTGCTGTTGCTGCTGCTGCTGCTGTTGCTGTTGCTGCTGATGATTCCGCTCCTGCTGCTGCAAGCTGCGGTGCTGCTCCCGGCGTCGGCTCTGCTGCTGTGGCTGCCTCTGATGCTGTTGCTGTTGTTGGTGCTGTCCTTGCTGCTGTTGTTGTTGCTGCTGCTGCAGCAAATGCTGCTGCTGCTGTTGCTACTGTTGGTAGCGGAAAGACAGCGGAGGGTCGGGGGCCCCCTGCTGTGCTGCTGCAGCACGCAAGGGACCTCCACACCATAAACCCTAAACCCTAAACCCTAAACCCTAAACCCTAAACCTTTACAATCGCAAAGTAAATCAGCATGTGTGTCTGTAATACCTTCCATATATTAGCAGCAGCAACAGCAGCAAATTTGCTGCTGCGGCGGCAGCAGAGCAGCTTCGAGGCCTCAGGGGGCCCCCCAGCTTGGGGGCCCCCAAGCGAACGAGTATATACAGCAGAGAAAATAAATTATTATTATTATTATTATTTGTTTATATGCAATATTTATTGTATATTTTTTATTTGTGTTTGCTGCTAGACAGAGTACTGCAGCGCAGAGGCCCCCTGCCTCACTGAGGCCTCGGGGGCCCCCTTGCTGCGTGCAGCAGCAACAACAGCAGCAACAGCAACAGCAACAGCAACAGCAGCAGCAGCAGCAGCAATAGCAACAGCAGCAGCAACAGCAGCAGCAGCAGCAGCATAAGCAAGGGTGTATCAGAGCTATGGCTGCTGACTGGTTGTTGCGTCAAGGGCCCCGGCTGAACCGCCTTGTGTCTGCTCTGCTGCAGCTGCTGCTGCTGCAGCTGTTGCTGCAGCTGCTGCAGCAGCAGCAGCTCGCCTCTTGTCTGCTGCTGAGGCCCCACAGCCATTCATTAGGGGCCCCCTACAGTGTCTTCTCTTTCCTGAGCTGCCCATACACTTCATTGAGGCGTTCTCTTTATCAAACCCCCTTCTGCTGCACTGAGCAGCAGAAGGGCCCCCAGCTTCCTGGAGCAGCAGCAGCAGCAGCAGCTGCTGCTGCTGCTGCAGCAGTAAGAGCTACAACAGCAGCAGCAGCAGCAGCAACAGCAACAGCAGCAGGAATAGCAGCAGATTCGTTTGCAAGTGATAAGATTGTCTCTGAGGGGTTCAATGACTTGCTGCCTTTGTTAAAAGATATTTCTGCTGCAGTAGGGGGGCCCCCAGAGGCCCCCTGGGCCCCCCCTATGAGTAGACTAGGCTTTATAAATGAAGAGCAGCAGCAGCA